GTTGTGTTTGGTTTGTCAGCTGTTGGCCTAAAGCTCAGAGTGAAGTGATTTGCAGCTAAGTATGAAGTATGAGAAATGAAAATCAGGACCTCCAAATCTGAGGCCAGTGTCCTCAACCAGAAAATCCCAGAGTGTTGGCTCTGGGTCACCGATGTGTTGTTGCTCCAAGTGGAGATGTTTAAGTATCTTGGGGTCTTGTTCACAAGTAAAGGTTACGTACGTAGGTTACGTACATTACGTATTTAAAATACAAAATATGAGTAACTGTATTCTGTTACAGTTACCGTTTAAAAAGGTGGTATTTAGAATACAGTTACTTTGTTGAAATAAATGGATTACACTGCGGTACTTTCCTGTTTCATATTGTGGCGGGCCAGGACTGTTTGGGTTTTGTTTGACAGCTATGTTCTGTTGTTCCAGGCAGCAGCGTTACGGTTGCCATGGTTACAGGGTGACGCTCTCTCTCTCTGCGCCTTTTTGTTGTTGTTGTTGTGCTAAGCTAACAGGCAGAATGCTACAGGCATTGCTCTAAAGAATGTAGCATCATGTTCAGTGTAGTCTGTGCTGCAGGGAGAATGGACTGCCATACACATTATGTTTCTGTGGGGAAGAGGAGGGAGAAAAAGGAGAGTGGAAAAGTACGAGTTGTTATCGAGAGCGGGAGCTGGAAGCATGTAAATATAATAACAACCACTGCAGCCAAGAAGAGTGCCTGATGAGCCCAGTTGTAAGTAAGCTATTAAGACTCGGCTGTACACCGTGTTCGTGTTTTCCTCCGAAAGAATAAGTTCCGTTGGAGCAGCCTTTCAACGCCTCTCTCTGTCTCTCGCAAGAAAAGTTGACCCACACAACAAAGTAAAGCTATTTTTCGGCTAGAAGCCCGACACGGAACCCGCCGTATTAGCCAGAGGTCCCTTTACTACAGTTCGGAGCCGCAGACCTTCAGTAATAGTAATAAATCACACAGCAATAGTACATTCACGTAGTTGTAAACAGCATTATAATGTATTAAGTATTCCAAAGTATTCAGAATACGTTACTCTCATTGAGTAACATAACAGAATACGTTATAAAATACATTTTGGGGCATGTATTCTGTAATCTGTAGTGGAATACATTTTAAAAGTAACCTTCCCAACACTGTCAGTAACAAGTAATCTCATATACCAGCTTAAGGACCTTTTTTGTCACATCACATCTGTGTTTCTCTACTTTTGTTGCAACACTACATGAGGAGTGACGTGAGAGGTCAACTCTTCTCAGAGTCTCTTGCTAAAAATATGAATTTGAATTGTTTTAAAAGATAAAAAACCAAGCTGAGCAAAGTTACTATGGCATCTTCTTCTCTGTGTGGCCTGTAAGGCTCAAGAGCATACACACGTTCCTTTATGTCTGACCATCTGACCATAACTGAATTTAGGAACAGGAACTACCACACCACTACTCTCTGCAGGTGTAAAAGGGCTGTGGCAGTGTGACAGGTTGAAGGACTACTGCATATAAAACTGTTCAGTTAATACAAATTCATATTAGTTAATGTAAAGACAAAAATAATGTAAATATGGTAAGAAAATGGTTAAGAGTTTATTATTTTTCATGTTATATTAATGGCTTTCATGTTATTTAAGAGAACTGCAATCTATACATCACTGATCGGCTAGTAAGCCTTTTCTGGGATCGATTAGTAGTGTCTCTGTTCTCCACTAGGGGCTTTTGTAGCATTCTCCTTACTGCAATAAACCACTGCATGAGAGACGCAAGTCATAATAACTCTCATGATTCTTTTACCCCTTTTTTCAGGTAAAAGTGTTTAAAGGTTGATATATTTTCAATGTGTACACTGTTAAGATATCTAAGAGGTAACCCTCATTGTTTTGTAAGCTTTAGAAGCATTATATTAGAGATTTATGCACATGTACGTGGCGGTTTTGAGCCTCAGTTTTGTACTGTATAATGGCCATTAAGATAACAGCAGGAGCTAAAAACGCCGCTATTGTCAACCATTTTATTAGGAAACCTGCTCAAGTATATGTATAGTAAGCACTTTAGTATTTCAGTTTATTATTTCGTGTTTTTTTTACACCATGTGACATTTAGCAGTACAGAATGTGAAACGTTCCTGCTCATTTTCACTGCAATAAACAACTGCATGAGAGACGCAAGTCATAATCACTCTCGTGATTCTTTTCCCCCTGTTTTCAGGGGTGTAACAGCAGCAGACCTGTATTTATTAGGTGAACCGAAATGGATCGGTCATGAGTGGACCGAGGCAGGTAAAAGGGTTTAACAAAAAACAAGCCGCTTATTGAGGTTGAGAAAAACATGAAAAACAAGGGCAGAAGAGAACAAAGATTAAACTAAACTAAAACCTATACTGGGAAAAACTAAACTAAGATCAAAGCACAAGGAATGTGGGGAAAAACTTCAGAACAGGAACACGGAGAGACTGAGGACTTAAATACAAAGAAGGGCAAAGATTAACAACAAAGATTAAACTGAAACCTATACTGGGAAAAACTAAACTAGACTCTCAAAATAAAACAGGAAACAGTGAGACAGACTGTGACAACACGAGCATGACACAGGGGTCAAGGGCACACGAGTGAGAGGGGACACGAGAGAACATACATGAAAGCACAACACAAGAACGACGAGATACAGAAGACATGACAGACTCAGACAGAAAACAGGGAGTGACACAGCGATAAGAAAACATTGACCGGGAGTATAACCAACTGAACAGGAAAACCAGTGACTAAACTAAAAGACAAAAACTTAAACATTACAAATAAAGTTCAATCAGAAAAAACGTAAAAGACTCAAAATACTGGATCAAATGATCGTGGCAGTAGATTTGAGTAAATTGACACAGATATCATTATAATTGTGAGATAGTGTTTTGCTAAGTGTCAACATGATGAGGAAAGTCTGTCAATGACAAAGAGACGTTTCACTCAGGTTTTTGTAGAAGATGGTTCTGAAAACACTCCCATATTACAGTAAATGTTGTGGCTTCATTTTTTTTTACGACAATTATGGGTCCAAAAAGTCACAATGGGCTGCTCAAGAGCCGGCAACACATTATTGGCTGTTTTAAACAGGAGGGGTATTTTATTATGCAATATTAGAACTCAAAACATGGTTAATAAGACTAATTGTTCTGTAGTTGTGTTCATAAAACCTCTGTTGAGGTTCAGTCAGTATGTGAAATTAAGTAAGTAGGAAATCAAATTAGGTGTGAGGCAATTATTCTGGTTTTGGTTGGAAAAGAAAGAAATGTGATGAAGGTTTGGCAGGCATGACTGACAAATATATGTGTTAGTATTTTCAGTGTTACATTCCAGTTAAACATATATGTAACATTATATAAATGCTGGTGCTAGAGCAGCTCAGCATTCACAATTGGTGGTTGTAGTTTCTGGCTAATAATGAAAAGAAATAGAAAATATTCTACAAAAGGTATTCAATTGGTTTTCTTCTGTCCTGTTTTTAATGAATTGTTATTCATTTTGTATCTGTTTTGTTCAAAGATACTAAAAATCACCATGAAGCTGCTAACTGTGTCTGCACTTCTCTGTGCAATGGTGGCTCTAACCACGGCTGCTGGTGAATATCATTGTATAATTTTTTATCATGTATATAATTTTAATGAAACATATAAATGAATAATACAATATACACCTTTCTTATCATTATCATATGCAGAAAATTGATGGTCAAAATCAATATTTTTGGTGGTAATTTGTCTGTGTCTTCACTGTGCAGAGGCCAGAGATGAAGTAGAGGGATTGATGCCCCCAGGTGAACAATATTTTCCAGATTTTCAATAATTATTGTCATCATTAGCAGACAAAAAATCACCTCAATGTTTGTAACACAAAGGATGTTTTCAAGTGTCTGGCTGTTATAAAGGCCATACTTAACCCTTTAAGTACCACACCAAGAAAAAAAGCAATGGAAAAAGCCTTATGTGCTCAACCATTTGGTTGCATAAGCATAGGAAGCACATTCTGACCGACACACACTCTGTGATTATCATCAAGTGTAGCCGCCATTGTAGTATAGAGCCTTCATCACACCTGTACTCTGTCAATCACTTAACTTATTTCAGTGTCAAATCTTACTTGTGCAACTTTTCAGTTATTATTTGTATAATTATTAAACATAATACAAAATAAGATATCAGCCAGAGACACATGAACAGCTATTCATTTACTCCCAGCCAAGAGTCACGTGGTCAAGAGGTCCCCTCGTTCCCCTTGTTGTCCTGGTGGTTGGACTAAATACGGTCATCGCTGCTTTTTCTTTAATTCAACAGTCGCGAGTTGGGCTGATGCTGAGGTAACTTATTTGTATTGTCTTCAATACCCGATTAAACCACATCCTTTTAACTGTTACATACTCATTATTTTTGAAAACCTCTGCTCGCTTTCTTTCTCCATTGAAGAAATCCTGCAAGTCCATGAGGGCACATCTTGCATCAGTTCGCAACATCAAAGAGTACCGTGAGATTCAGAGGCTGACTGGCAAAAAAGAAAGTTGGATTGGAGGAACTGATGCATCAAAGGTATTTTGTTTATCATTTGTCAGGTGTTGGCATGAGAATTGATAAGAATTTAACTCCAATTTGATCATCCATTCTCTTATTGATTCTCATTGGGTTCTCCCTGGCTCTGCTTTGAAACTCACCACTATAGCTTAGCAGCATATCAGTGACAGTACATTTTTGAAAATTAATTGAATGCTGTGTGGTAAAATGTTTACGCCTGTTGAAGGTATTTCCTCTCTTTGTTGGGATCAGTGATTAATTAAAAAAAACAATGTGTGTTGATTTATATCTAATGGTATCACTCTGAACATCACTGCTCTTTCATATGCATTCCCATATGGAAAGGATATATATAAATCTTATAAAGTTTGTATCTGTCTTGTATGAAACTTGTATGAAAAGCATACAAGAGTGAAAACACATATAAGATCTCTTGAAAAATTATATAATGAAACTTGTATGTTTTGGATACTTACAAAAAAAATATATGAAAGTAATGAGAAAGTGGCCACTTTCATGAGTAAATCATATATAAATCATGTATGTTTTTACTATTTCTTTTCCGTATGGGTTTGTAGGGCAACTAATGCAGGTACAGCAGCTTCAAGACTTCAAGCTGTGTGCTTAAAGTCAGATAATCTGCTAGGACTCTGAGTAGGCTCAACATTTTGGCCTGTCTGAACCAATAAGTCCAATTTCTTCCTTCTAGGAGGGTAAGTGGTTGTGGAGTGATGAGACCTGTTTTACCTATAAAAAGTGGTGCTTTAGAGAGCCCAATAATGATCGCAATCAGGACTGCCTTCAGATAAATCGTGGAGGTAAATTAGAACACAATTATTAATATGAATTATTAATGTGTGTGAATCTTTTCTGTGATCAAAGATACAACTAATAACAGCTTGTTAACAAGTGTTTGGGCTTTGATTTGTGTGATTTCTACTTTTGAACCTTTCAGTTTTCAAGTGCTGGGATGATATGTGGTGTGATGCTCATCTGCCATCTGTCTGCGCCAAGAACATCTCATCATTCTTGGACTGACGCTGGAGCATGAAATTCCCATAAAACACACACTGATGTATGATGGTGTTTGTGTTTTACTCGCTCTTACTTCATTTCATTTTGGAGCATTATAGTTTTCCTCTCTCTGTCATAACAAAATGACCAGCCAACACAAACTGGGCTGTCTCTGAGGCGATCTTTAAAGCAGTCTTGTCTTTAATAAGAGCAGACTTGTTACCAAAGGACTGATTATGATTTTTTTTCTCTGCAGAGAAAACTTCTTATTTCCTCTTGTTTATTTTTTGCAACAATAAAGCTTCAAGCAAGCATGTCTCTGCATTATTTTTTGTTTGTTTGTTTGTTTGTTTTGAGGTGCATATAAAGTGCTGTGCCAAAGTTTTTAGCAGGTGTGAAAAATGCTGTAAACAAAGAATGCTTTCAGACATATAAATGATTGTTTATTGGCCCCAAAATGCCTTCTGTAGCAGGATAAAACCCCAAACATACAGCCAAGGTAAATACTAAGAGAAAGATCACGTTTGTCCTCATTAGGATAGGGATGAAAGAAGATGTTTTTTCATAGATTTCAATACAAATTCAATAGAAATAATTACAATACAAATAAACCTTTCTATAGCTTACTGTGTGGGGCCTTCTCTGAGAGCACAGCAATTACTAAATGAAGCGGAATCTGTGAGGTTGTTCAACTCTTTTCATAATTTAGTAATTATATATAATTGATAAAGGGACGTGTACTTAGAATCACACACAGTTTGGATGACAGTAAGTTTATACCTAATTGAGTTTAAGAGGAAGAAACCTCCGGCAGAACCAGGCTCAGGGAGGGGTTGGTTGGATTAGGTGATGAAGACAGGACAAGGACATGCTGTGGAAGAGAGCTCAAGATTAATAACAAGTGTGATTCAGTGCAGAGAGGTTTATTAACACATAGTGAGTGAGAAAGGTGACTGAAGAAGAAATACTCAGTGAATCATGGGAATCCCCTGCAGCCTACGTCTCTTCTATCTCTGACTCAACACTAGCCTGGTTTTCTTCCTATTTATCTGAAATAACTTTCTTTGTGGTTTCTCTGTCTTTTTACGGTGCCTATAATGTTATTTTCCTTTATCAGGCTTCAGTCCTTTACCTGGCATCACTCATTCTCTTTGGAGTAGGGAGTTCGCCTTGCATTTACCATACAGGCCATTCTATTTCTGGCATTTATTAATATTTCCATGCCAATAACATTCAGCTTTAAATGTCCTTCTGTACATGTCTTTTAAAATTCACCAGCTGCATTGGCGGTCCACCCTAGACTGGTTGCTTCTTTTTACAGATTAGTGACTGGTTCTCCAATAGTGGCTTTGTTTTAAACTCCAACAAGACTGAGGCCATGATTATAGCTAATTGTTGTGCACATTCAAGAGTCAGTCAAGTGATTGCTTCCTTTTTCTCATCTTCAAAGACCAGTGCCGGTGTAATATTTGATTTCTCGCTGAACTTCAACTCACATATAAAATTGATCTGAATAATCTTTCTTTCATTTAAAAAAACTATACCACATTGAGAGCTATAGTCTTCTCCTCTGAAGTAGAGACAATTTTTCATTCATTTCAGTCATCGTCTTTAGATTATTGTAATGCCCTTTTTACTTGCTTAGACATATCACCTGTTTCACGTCTCCAAGCAATACAAAATGCTGCGGCCACACTAACTCAACTTGCCCCTTATTTTATTCCCTTTACATTAGCTCCCAGTAGATTTTAGAACTTATTTTAAGATTTTCTAGAGCACTAAATGGTCCAGCTCCAGAATACTTATCTCAACTTCTCGTTAAAGACGCTGCGGCTCCCTGTCTTTACTCACACACTCAAAATTTGTTGGCTCTGTTCCCTCCTGTGACCAGGAGGAACATAGGAAGAGAAATGTGTTTTAAAAAGGCTGAAAATACATACATTGTGATCTGCAAGTATAAACTAAGCTTTAGAAATGTGTACAATCATTTGTGTGTAACTAATCCACACAAAAAATATGAAGCAGTCTAACCACACGTAAAACTTTCTGGAACATCAAATTGTGTTGTTTGATTTTTTTTCTTTTAGTAGATTCACTAGGATTTAAATTTTAATTAAATAAAAATTAATTACATTGAAAAAGCAAATTATTTAGGTTTCACTCCATCTGTGCTTGCTGTAACATCCTGATACTTATTTACTTGATCTGTATTCGACATTTTATGTTTAAAGAGGACATGCAGTGTTTTTAATATTTTTAAGTTTTTTTTATTTATTTTGATTATTATTTGACTTTATTTTATTACATCAAGGCTAAATAAAACAGCTCTACTCCAAACTTAAAAACCATATAGCACTCAATATTTATATATATTAAAAAAAAAACAGAACAAAAAGAACTTGTGTATTTTTCACAAAAGACTAAAGTATCACATTTAGCTTGTTGTAATCTTAAACTGCGGGTTAGCTGTTCCATGCATTCATGCACTACCTGATGTTTGTTCCCAGTTATGTACAGCTGTATAAACCAGTACAAATCTGGATGCCTCTTTTCTCCTGCTTTTTGGGTAGTTCTGTGCACTAGACCTACAATACGCAAAGACTCTCGAGCATTTATTCACATGTATCCATGTATCGTTAAGCTGAGTATTGAAGGGTTTTTTTTGTTTGTTTTGTTTTTTTAAACCGTTTTTTACCATTTGCCTCTTCTACCTCACGTTTAAGATGAATGACTATTCAGTTCATGCACTATTCATGTTTAATGTTCTGTTGCCTAATACCCTGATGCACTGCCTTGATGTTTGTTCCCTATGAAGTACGGCAGTAGAAACCAGTACTTTTTTTTATGTATTTAAAACAAGAAAACGAGCTGCAGCTGTCAAAAGTGTTAAATACCTTAATGTTCTAATAGCTGTAATTGCTGTTAATACTGAAAATGTTACTGAATTTTAGAATTGAGATGGAGACCCTTTTTCTTTTGTTTTATTTATGAAGCACTTTGTTATGAGTGGGCTCCGTTATTTGTGCCTTTTTAAAAGGACATTGTGTTGAATAAAAAAAGTTGTTAAATTGTCAGTGTTGTCATTTTCATGTTTTCTAACACTTTTAGCTGATTGTAAGTTACTGGGAAAAAAGTTTAGAATTGTTTTTAAGCGTATTTCCCACAGGATTTTAAAATATTGAAAATTTTAAGTGATATTTCCCACATTATAGGTTAAAAAATATCAAAAAGGTTGAGTTTATTTCCCACAGCGTATGAGTTGCAATATGTAAACATTTTTGAGTGTATTTCCCACCTCAATTAAGTTGAAAAATATTGAACATTTTCAGTTTATTACTCCCTAATTATAAGTTGAGGAATGTCAACATTTATAAGTTAAAATTGAGATAATTTAAGGCAACTGCAAATGTAATTTTTATTTTAGTTAAACTTAAAACTTTTAAAAACATCACTAAAAATTGTTGTGTAATCTGTTACACAACAACTTTTGAGTTCTGTGAACTTATTGGGTTTTACAGTGTACTTTAACTGTCTATAGCTCTGGGATCAGATGTAAAACCTGCACTGAGCGCATTTTATAAATCCCCATACACACACACACACACACAAAAGGTTGGAGAGCTACAGTTTTTACATGGTGCAGTGGCTGTAAATGCTTTTATTTCTGTTTTGATCCAAGTGTTGATGAGAACTACATGTTCTGTCCTCACAGAGAGAAGCTCTGTTCCACTGTTTCCTGGACCGAAGCTCATTCTAGTCTGTGTGTGGGTCATTGCAGAGGCTACTCCATTTATTTGGACAGTGTTTTTATCTACAGATGGTCATTCTGGGTCTCATGTCACAGGTCAGTCTCAAACCAGAGTCAAATTTTAACTATTGAAATTAAAAAATTATATCAAAATTATATCAACAGAAAATAGAAAAAAAGAGCATTAATTGCATTGTGATGTTAAAATAATGTTGATCAGGATGATCAGAACTCTCATAAACATTGATTATCAATATTACTGTATGGTAAATGTATGAAAATGTAAGAATATGTGGCATTAAAATCTTATCCTGTGTTTTGTATTAAAAAACAAACAAACAGGGAGAACTTATCTTAGGGTTAGTGCTCACACTCACCTCGATTTTGTTAAATAGCTGCTTAGTTAGTGCCTGATCTCTCTCTCAGTCGACATGGTGGAAGAGTGATGTTGAGAGTGTGAACTGTCTGAAAGGTTGCTCTCGTTTTTTGTGATCAAATTTTGATTGTTTTTAAACAAACATAAATGTATAATAATGTTAATGAGTAAAAAGAAATTTATCCAATGAACCAAAAACCAAGACAAGGAGAACTACAACGATCAGAGAGAAGAAGAGAAAAAAAATCCAAAAGAAAAATCTGGCCGAGAAGAAGACACGAAAGAGGAGAGATGAATGGACAGAGAGCAAGACATAAGACAGTTAACCACGTCCTTTGATCACGTATCCTATGGGGGTGCTTTGGGAGTATAGGATCTCTCACCTGGTGCTATGATTGACTCTCTCCTTGTACAACTATTGTAAGAACAACAAAGATCTATTCTACTAAATTTGGCTCAATGCTTACATATATGTGTAAAAAGAAAATGTACGAGCTGTGATAACTGTTTCTGATAGAATGAAGAGTAGACTGATATATT